ACAGCAGCTGCGATGATGGATCAAGCATAGGAACAATTGTGAGCATGGTGCAGGACTTGGCAGAATGTCATTCTGTTGCACATAAGGTCACTATGGGTCAGAATCAATTCAACACCATCGAATAACAATGCCAAAGGAGCCGTGGTGGCCTAGTGTGCTATGTGTTTGATTTCTAAACGCTCCTTGAGAGAAAGGTGAGACTTCCTGCTCATGTAAAGATTTAGTCTCAGAAATTCCCAAGGGCAGTTCTGCTTTGTCCTCTAGGGGCACTATGAATTGGAACAGACTCAATGGCAGGGGCTTTTTTTGGTTTTGCTTTTGTTTTAATTTTAATTTTTTATTAATCCAAAGAGGACACTTATAGTCTTCTGCCTGGTAAGTCTACTGTCTAGCATCCGAGACCCCTGCCTCACTGCTTCCAGTCCCTGAGTTTCAGCCAAACCCCACTAATGTGATTCCTGAAGAATATACATATGCTTCTATGGGCCTCTGAATGTGGCACCAACTATTCCGTTAGTGTAGAGCTCCTGCCCCTTTCTATGTCTCTCCTTCCCTGACTATGACCCCAATACACCGTTGAGTGCATCTAAAGCAATTCCTCCCAGACAGCTCCTTATCAGTATGGCTATCAACAGGGCAATAACCCATCACAGTGCTTGAACATGCATTGAGTTATTTCTTCTCTGACCAGCGCAAAAGCAAAATGACATCTTCTTGGGCTCTAGTGGAGCAGGCCAAGAGTAGGATGAGATCAATGGAAGTCATTAATGGATAGACACACACACATTCACACATACACACTTAAAACACACTTACAACTCCTTAGTCTGAGGAAAGTTTTATTGCAGAGCTGACCTTACATCAAGATCATATTAAGAACCAGATACCTACGGTGACTGTTTGAGATTTATTTCTTAGGCTTTGAAAATGTGTGCTTTATTCAAAAATTCAAATTCTCAAAAGAAGTGCAAATCTGCAGAATTAGTTTCTCTTGTACTTTGCTAACGACCAGATGAAGGGAACGGTAAGAGGGTGGGCAGCTTTTCAGAACAGCTGAAAGGGGAGGAGCAGCAATCGGAGACAGGATGCATCAAGAGGAAGAACACTTTCCACTTTGACCTGGAGTTATTCCCTGATGGAGATACAATTTATATTTGTCTTCAAATAGATGTAACATAAATATCCACAAAATGATGACTCATTTTTTATTGATTACAGAAAAAACTAAAAGAGCTGCATTTTTTTCTTTTTGGTTGGGTTGAGGGGAGGGAAGTTGAGAGTAGAAAGTTTGTAATTTCCATTCAAAGGTAAGATTTTTTAAAATCCTGAAGTGGAAGTTATTTAGAAGTTAACTTGGTTCTGTTGAAATATACGTACATAATTAGAAACAGGTGGTTTTATAGATGAGCTCTAGAATTTCCTGAGTCTATAGAAATGAAATGATGGATACATTTTGTGAAGCAAAATTATCTTTACAATGGATCTTCTTGTTATATTAAGGACCTTAATACTTATATCAAAATTATCTTGATAAAGCTAATTACGACTGTTGGTTATGTTAACCAGCTGGACAAACCTGTTGAGGTAAGAGGAAATGGAGAGGAGATGAAAGATCACTTCATTCGGATTTATCAATCTGATCTGGAGTCATTTTTCTTAATATGCTCTGATTGAGAATCTACTAAGTCTTACATAAATCATTACAGCAATAATATAAGAAAGCAGAATATACTGTTTGACCTAAAGTATACTCCATCTCATCTTAATAGCATTTATTAAGTGTAAAGTGAAGAAGAGATTTGGCAAGGAGCTGATAAAATAATAAATAGCTATCTTTACATTCCTAAGCCTTCACTCTTTGTGAGTGTGAAAAATCAGGTCAATTTCTAAGATGAGAATCAGATTAATCAGATAATTACTATGATTAATCAACTTGCACAACACCCAGATCCTTACTGGGATTTGCCTGTATTGCTCCAGATCAGATGTCCAATATGTTCAGTGTTTCTTTTTGGCTGCTTTTTAAGAGGAGTGGTGACTCCAGGTTATAAGAATCAGGATTTGGATTTTAATAGTTAGAAGCCTTTAACAGGTTACTCTTCTTGATACTTTCCTCAAATTAAGTTTGCATCCTTTTAAAAGATTTTTAACTCAATGTGCTTGATAATTTTTCTTGTATTGTTGCTATCAGTTGCTATTAAGTCAGCTCCAACTCATGCCGCCCCTGTACAAGAGAACAGTATTGCCTAGTTGACCAATGGACAACATCGTGATGAAGCACTGGGAGCCCTTACTCGTCTGGGCCAGGGAATTTAGAAGACAGCTACTTGGCTAACTGAAGTGATCTGGATTTTCACTCTTCTGAAGGTTATCCATCATTTGTTATGATCCACACCACTATTTGGCCAACTGACTGAAACAGATCCATATATGTACTCATCCCAAAGAAAGGTGATCTAACAGAATGCTCAAACTATAGAACCCTATTGTTCAGAAGTTCTCAACCTGTGGGTCGAGACCCCTTTGGGGGTCGAATGACTCTTCGAATGACTTTTGCTATTCATAACAATAGCAAAAGTACAGTTATGAAATAGCAACAAAAATAATTTTATGGTTGGGTGGTCACCACAACATGAGGATTTGTATTAAAGGGCCACGGCATTAGGAAGGTTGAGAACCACTGCAGTATAGTTGATAACAACTATAGTATAGTTGATAACACATGCATGTAAAATTTCACATGCATGAAGACCACCCAACAACAGTTGCAGTAGGACATTGACAGGGATTCACGTTGGATTCAGAAGAGGATGTGGAACAAGGGATATCATTGCTGATGTCAAATGCATCTTCACTCAATACAGAGAATACCAGAAAGATATTTGCTTGCATTTTATTGACTAACCAAGGCATTTGACTATGTTGATCATAACAAACCTTGAGGAGAATGGGAATTCCAGAACACTTCATTGTGCTCATGTGGAACTTGTACATGGATCGAGAGGCAGTTGTGGAAATTGAACAAGGGAATACTGAATGGTTTAATATCAGGAAAGGTGTGTGACAGGGTTGTATCCTCTTACCATACTTATTCAATCTGTATGCTGAGCAAATCTTCAGAGAAGCTGGATTATGTGAAGAAGAGTGTGGCATCAGGGTTGGAGGAAGGCTAATTAACGACCTGCCTTATGCAGATGACCCAACCTGGAAAGTGAGAGGACTTGAAGCACTTGCTGATGAAATCAAGGATTGCAGCCTTCAGTATGGATTATGACTCAATGCAAAGAAGACCAAAATTTGGAAGACAGCTAATTGGCCAACCAACTAGAAGAGATCCATATTTGTGCTCATTCCCAAAAAACCTGTCCCAGCAGAATGCAGAAATTGAGTAATATTATTAGTATCACATGCAAGTAAAAGCTTACTGAAGATGATTCAACCACAGTTGGAGCAGTTAATCAACATGGAACTGACAGAATTCAAGTCCTATTCAGAAGAGCATGTGGAATGAGGAATGTCATTACTGCCACCACATGGATCTTGCCTGAAAGCAGAGAATACCAGAAAGATGTGTATCTGTGTTGTATTGACTATGCAAAGGCATTAAATTGTGTGGATCATAACAAATTATAGATAACATTTAGAAATATCAGAATTCTAGGATACTGACTTGTGCTCAGTTTTAACCTGTACATAGACCAAGAGCTATTTGTTTAAACAGAGAAAGGAGATATTGCATGTTTTAAAATCAGGAAAGGTTTGTGTCATGGTTGTATCCTCTCCCCATACTTATTAAATCTATTTCCTGATGAAATAATCCAAAAAGCTGAACTATCTAAGGAAGAATTTGGTATCAGGTTTGAAGAGAGGCTAATTTAAAACTTGAGATTACAGATGACACAACCTTGCTTTCTGAAAGCGACGAAGACTTGAAGCCCTCAGTGGTGAAAATCAAAGATTACAGCCTTCGGGACAGGTTGAGAGCCAATGTAAAGAAAGCCCCAAACTCCTCACAACTTGATCAGTTGTCCACATAAATTGGGAAAATGTTGACGTTAACAGTGTTTATTCTTACTATGTTGTAGTTAGCCTGAGGCCAGCAGTCACTAGTCCATTACTAATTATAAATCACTCTTATTAACTTTCAATGCAAAGAGCATTTTGCTGAATTTGTGCATTTCAAATGGAGGCTTACAAAAGAGCTTTCGCTTTGCTTCAACTAAAGCCTGGCTTTAATTTCATTTCTGCCACCCCATATTTCCTTTCTTTCTTTCTCTTTTATGCATCTGTTTATTTACTTGTAGCTGATTCCAATGTCACGATTTCCAGGGTGAGGTAAGCAACAATGAATGAATTAAACACCAATATGCGGTTTCTCAGGACTAAATAACTTAGATAATATTGGGTGTGATATTCTGCCTATAGATATCCAATACCAGAATATATTCTTTAAGAGGAATTCAGTGGCCCATGTTAATGTATTCTTTTATTCTACATAATATATCATCAAAGTATTTTAGGACTCCACTTTTTTTTTCCTCCAGGGGAGAGTTTGGGTCATGTGAACAAAATTAGCCACTTTGTGCTGTGTGTAATTGTTTGTACACTGTACACTGTGTGTACAGACATAGGATAGACGAGTGGAGAAATCACTGGGAACTATACAGTAGTCTTTGAATCCATTTAAAATAAATTCTACATTTAATAGGCAGAGCACCTCTACACGTTCCTCCTAAAAGGAGAAAATTCTATTGACTAGGTCAGTAATTTTTGTCTCTCCTGACTTCATAAAAAAATCACTGTGAATTTTCATGTTATGATGGCACTGTATTTGAGTATGTGCGAGATAACTGGATTTTTTAACCATTTATCACTGCTGCTCACAATTACCTGGGATAGCTCAGATTTAATATTATAAGTTAGTCGTCTTCTCTGGCTTAGAACCCTCCAAGCTCCCACATGACCTCATACTCAGGTGTCTCCCCTGTGTATTGTTTCAGGTGTCCACTGTGACAGTGTGTGTGCTGAGGGTCGATGGGGCCCCAACTGTTCTCTGCCTTGCTACTGTAAAAATGGGGCCTCCTGTTCCCCTGACGACGGTATTTGTGAGTGTGCACCCGGATTCAGAGGCACCACTTGTCAGAGAAGTAAGTGTCTCACTAGGTGCTAATCTCCATGTTCCCCTCCCTGGCCCCATGTAAAGAATGTCTTGTCCCACGGTATGTAATGACGTGCTGCTGCAGTTGAGACCAGGCAGGAGTGGAATTGGTCACCCTGCCCTTTGCAGCATTGACCTCAACAGTGCCTCCCTATGAGCCAGCTCTCTTCCTTCTAACCTTCAGCACTAGCCTAACAGATGGGTCTTTAACTAAGTCTTCTCAGTAATGATTTCATTACCCTTTTGGCACCATCATCAGGATCTATTTCTTGATCCTTCCTTAAATCTTGGAAATGGTGTTCCAGAAATCCAATGACCTGTAAATATTTTATTTAGCAATTTGGCATTTGCCTTACCCCAATTACCAGAAGTCAGCATCAGCCAAACCTTACGGCAAATCATGTATCCTGCTAGGAGTCTGAAAGTCAACGCTTGGGGGAAAAAAATAATTGCAGAGTTAAAAGTGGAAGCTGTTGACATTTTACAACAGAATTTTTGAGTTGGGAAATGATTCATAAGATTTCGCTAAATCTTTTATTAAATATGACTCTAATCACAATGATTAACCTGGCCATCTCAAGCAAGAAACACCTTCTAGCTCTGACAGTAAGTCTGTTTATTACCAGGAGTGACACATACATGAATAAAAGATCAGCAAATGATCAGAGAGTTCTTGTTTGAGACTTGTTACTGTTTATTTTTTTATTTCATTCATTCATACATTTGTTTAGCAATGTGAATGCAGTTTTGAACCTGTGCTGTATGCCATGCCTGCAGATAAAAGACCCACATTGGAAGATAAAAAAAGACACGGGCTTTTGTCTGACAACCAGCAATCAGAGCTATCGTGGCATCTTTTCATGATTGAGAGTCCCTTGTTTATTTTGTGCTGGTTGTTTTACTATGGGGAAATTTTTAATCCTCAATGTCTTAATCTGAATTCTCTAGAGAAAAAAAACAGTAAAGCTTACAGAGATAGGTAGATGGATGGATGACTGAATGTATAGATAAATACATTTAGATAGATAGATGATAGATAGGTAGGTAGATAGATAGATGATAGATAGATAGATAGATAGATAGATAGATAGATAGATAGATAGATAGATAAAATGGCTCATTCTATTTTAGAAGTAGGCAAGTCTACGTCTGAGTAGGTACCAAATCTATGTGGCAAATGCTAGGCTGGACGCTTCTTCTAATTTGAGTAGCTGTCGGAGCGGTTGATCAGCAGGAAATCGACAAGCTGGTGCCTTCAGAGGCGAATAACTCCAAGGCTAGCTGGTGAGGCTGGTGGATGCAGAAACAGATGAATCCAAGGCTGGCAGGTTGCTAATGACGTCCATGATTGAAAGACAATATGACAAGCCTTTGGCCCCAGTACAAAGAGTTAGAAGTCAATGAGCTGGATGCAGGATCCAGACTAACAAAAAGTGGCAAGCTTTTCTATAATATCAACTAAGATTGGAAAGAGACCACATCCCTGCAGAAAATTTCTTTTAATTGATTGCATCATGGCTATAATCTGCATAAGGGTATTGTGCCCTATCCTTATCTCACACCTGATTGGCTGATACCATTAGAGCGGTTCCCATTAGAGAGGTGATTGCCTTGTGTTAGGTCACATCATGGGGTTTACTGGGTGTTAACTGCCAAACCAGTGCCAATCCTGGTCCAGCCAAGCTGATACAAACCTAATTCTTTCACTTAGTATCACTTTTTTAAAAAGGTGTACCGTTTCCCACTCTCATATGGTTATAGGAGACCTTGCCTGAAACTTTAACTAGACCCCGACGTGAAATATGAGAGAAATGTGCCTGAGGAAGCTTCACTGTGGATGTTTATTCTTTTCCAGTTTGTTCCCCTGGTTTTTACGGGCACCGCTGCAGCCAGACGTGCCCACAGTGTGTGCACAGCAGTGGGCCCTGCCACCACATCACAGGCCTGTGCGACTGCTTGCCTGGCTTCACAGGGGCTCTCTGCAATGAAGGTGAGGTGTGCAGCAGTTGGAGGGGATGTGTGGATGAGGAGCAAGCCCCGTGAAGTCTGTCCTCGGGCTTCCTCTCAGGCTTCCCAAAGAACAAGTTTTCAGTTACCAGCTCTCGGCGCCACCTGCTATGCTGTGTCTTTAGCTTGTGAAAGTAAGACTTTGAGCTTTGGAAAAGCTGGCTTACCACTCAGCAAGATTTCTTTGTTTCCTGAGCTGTGCAGCTCTGCAGTTCTAATTGGAAGCATCCTCCCAGGAAAACTCACGATGAGGAAGGAGATTGACTCCTTGCGTGAGAAGGCAGGAAGTCAGATTTCTAGACCTGTGATGATGCCTCATTGTTTGTGGTGCCTTAAGTAAGGGTCTTTGGTTTTGCATGTGGGTAAAACTGAGCCCCATGGAAGATGAGGCATACTGGTGTGGGGAAGTGAGTATTAGCTGGGTTGGTGCCCTTTAAAGTCCCTTCTGTCCCGAGAGTCCAGGATTCTGTGAAGTAGGATGGGATTGCATGTTACTGACCTCTAGTTTATCCACAGTGTGTCCCAGTGGCAGATTTGGGAAAAACTGTGCAGGTATTTGTACCTGTACCAACAATGGAACCTGTAACCCCATCGACAGATCTTGCCAATGTTACCCAGGTTGGATTGGCAGTGACTGCTCCCAACGTAAGTCTGGTTTGATTCTCAAAGCTCTCAGAATAACTGATCAAACTTTTTTACATGTTGGTTGTCAACTTCTTTTGCGTTGAAGTCTGCGTGTTTACAAATTAAGAAAGAATGTGGATTAGTTATAATATACTCATGCATTACTTTCATTAAAATTTTTTTCTCATTAAGGCTTTATGTATTTATGTTCTGTATTTAGATCCAAATCATGTCCCAGGAAATGACCTAAATATGTAGCATGTTCACTATTCACTTTTCCGTGACTCATGATTCATTGACTTACAATGAAACTAGGCCCATTTAGAGGTTTGTTTCTTCATTGTGTTTGCCTGGAAAGTCAGTGATAGCGAAATGAAGAAACAGAATTTCAGAGATATAAGCTTTGGATACTGGTTGGGATCTTGAGCCAAAAGTGGGTGTCCACCTAACTATGGCCCCCATGTTAAATGTCCCCTCAACTTTACCCAGTTGCCACCCCCAACCACCATATTTCTGACTGGAGTTGAGCAAGCTTATGAAGAACTATAAATGACTTTGAGCTTGCCCATGTCATGAAGAGATAACCTTACTGTAAATCATTGATTAGTTCATTTGGAAGGGCTAGTTCAACTTATGAAAGCAATCAACTTTTGACCAAGGAATAACTTATACACTAATATAACCTGCACCGTTTCCTTATAAATCTGATGGTTCATACTCAGTTTATGTGGAGTTTGCCCATCAATAACATAAGAGAAGTTTTAAAAAATGATTATACACTCAAATTGCATGGCCGTTATTGCATTTATTTTTTAATTCAGACATCACAGTTAGAGTCCCCCTGCAATCATGATGGATGAACAATACATCTTATCAGAAGTTCTTTTCTTTGTTTGCTTCGCTCCCTAAGTGTGAATGTGTCCTTAGGAGTTAATGCTGCAGTCCACTTCGGAGGAATGACAAAGCAAGGGCTTTGGGGAAACCAGCATAGATCTTGGAAAGGAAGCTCTTTGGGGGAGGTCTTAATAGGCACAACATCCTTGGAGTATGTTTCATTCTATGGGGGGAAATCGCTTCAAAAGCTACCATACGGGCACCCCATGATCCGAGAACTGCATGGCAATCTTCTGCCTGTGAACATGGCACACTGCAAGTGGCACGGAGTGCACGGGCTGTGACCTGTAGCCTAAATGCTCTCTCTCGCCAGCCTGCGCATCCTTCTGGGGTTGGCAGCCCTGTGGACACTGTGCTCTGGATACCCTTTGCTGTAGGTGTGAAAGTTCATAGACAAACACTAATGGGTAATGACAGAAAATGGTGTTGGGACCTTGGAGCTCAGCAGTTTTGCCCAGGAAGCTTTGGGAGATGTTGTTTGCTGTGGTCTTCCTGAAGTTGGGACAAAACTGAACAAACAGGATGAGTTTGGTGCTCTGGAAAGTGTCAGAACTGCAAGTGAACGCTACTCTTTACTGCTCCCTGATTGACTCATTCCTTCCCTGTGACCCCTCTCTGAGGGGATGTCCCATTGTCTATAGATGGACTTTGGGTCTCTTCTCCGAATCCCCTCATTCTCAACAATATGGTTTTGTGTGTGTGTGTGTGTGTGTGTTTGTGTGTGTATTTGTTTGTTTTGGGTCTTTTGATGCCTGTCACCTGGTCCCTGAGACACCTCAGGATCGCACAGGCTGATGTGCTTCTTCCATGTTGGCTTGTTGCTTCTCTGATAGGTGACTGCTTGTTTATCTTCAAGCCTTCAAGGCCCCAGAGGCTATATCTTTTGATGGCCAGGCTTCATTAGCTTTCTTCACCACATTTGTTTATGCACCCATTTTGTCCTCAGCGACTGTGTTGGAAGGGTGAGCATCACAGAATGCCAGATTATTAGAACAAAATGTTCTTGCATTGAGGGAGGGCATGAGCAGAGGCCCGAAATCCGTCCACAACCTCAGTGCATTGCCATACAAATATGTTTACATGGTCAAATATCTCTATTGTTATTAATTAATATATTAACATATGTACACACCTATGCTTGTACCTCTATCTCTATATTTGCTTCCTAGATCACTCCTCTGTTTCCTTTCACCTTCCACCATCACGCGCACCCTACTTCAGCCTCTTAGTAATTCCTCTCAGCTAGATTGATGTTGCTCCAACACCCCCAAGATCTCTACATCATTGTTGTTGTTGTTGATTTTAATTCCCTAGTTGTTCCCTGTCTATGGCATTGTTTGCTCACAGCTCTGTTCCCCAACCTCCTTCTCCCCCCAGTCCCTCCAAGACCATCTGTCCCATTGCTTTCTCCTCAGGCTTGCTTCCATGCCTGTCTTATATAAGTAGGTAACCCAACATGACAGAGACCAAACAAAAAGAAAAAAAAAATTTGAAAAAAGAAATAAAAAGACAAAGCAAAAATACACAATTCCAGGTCTGTCTGCTGACCTTTATGACTGTCTCTCCACGGATCCTGGGGGGACTCTGGGAGCTGCCCCTCCTAGCCTGAAGTCTATTTGGGGGACTCTTCAGGAGTTTTGTGCCCTTTCTTTGCTCCTGTATTTTAGGAGTCACTCATTTCCTAATTTGGAGGCAGAATGGGCTGAAAGGACAAAAAAAGGTCGGGGGGGGGGATGTCCACCATAATGGATACAGTTATGCATCAGTGCATAGGGGTGTGCAAAGGGGTTTACCATGGACTGGTAAGTACGACCTAAGCAATAGGTTGTTTCCGGTCAAGGGTGTTCCATTGAGTGTCACATGGATTGGGTCTGTCCATCATTTTTACACCCAAATCTTGCTGTGGCCTTAAAACTGAGCAGCTGTATTTACGTAACCTATAACAAATGCCATTTTTAATCTGTGACCTTGAACAAGTTACTATTAGCCTTTCTTGGCTCTTGGTTTCTCATCTGTAAAATCAAGATGTTGTACTTAGAAAATTTATTCATTCCAAGGTTCATTCCAGACCTTGATCATCAACTATTATTCTTCCTTTGCTCTTGGCCCAAAAATGATGTTCAGATGATGTACAGGGGAATTATTTTTCATTATTTCTGATTTATATATTGTCTTTATGGTCTTTATTTCCTGCTGGATAACCACAAAGAAATTATAGGTGGTCCTATTTTGAAGTAATTACAATGCCCCTAATGCACTGGCATGAGTAAAAAAATTATTTTTTTGTAAAGGAAATCATTTTACTCCATTATCTTGGGCTATTATTTCACAGATGCTTTATCTGAGTTTCTGATTGTTCTTCAATTGGCAGTAACCCCTAATGATTTACTTTTATTATTTCCTGCTTCTGCCAGTTATAGCCTTTTATGAGTAAACCAATTGTTATATACAACTGGGAGTCTTAACATTTAACATGGGCCTTCAGTGACAATTCTGGAGAATAGTGATCCGTGCGGGGTCTGCAGATCAAAGACACACATTACATGAAACTGGGTCACCTGACCTTTCTTGAGTCAAGCCGTTGTCCGCATCGGATCGGGGCTTCTCTACTTAGCGAAAGGTGTCCCTAAGAGAAGCTTTTTCTTGCATCATTCGTGTCTGCCTTTTCCCATTTTATTTTTTCCATAGTACCTGTCCCCTAGTGGAGCTGTTGGGTGAGCATTGAACTGCTAACTGAAAGCTGGGCAGTTCAAGCCCACCAGTTGCTTTGGGGGAGAAAGATGAGACAATGTGCTCCTGTAAAGATCCACAGCCTGGAAACCCAATATAGGGTCACCATGAGTTGGAATCAACTTGATTGTAGTGGGTTTTGTTGCTTTGTTTAGTTTTTAAATTGTCATTGTGTTTTAGGGCTGGTTGGTTCTCCTGCCTTTTCTACTTAAAGTATAAGTTTCCTAGGGTGGTTTAAACTTCATCTTGTCCTCTTTTGAGAGCAATGCTAGGTACATACTATACACGGAATATGAGTTTGTTAAATAACTAAATCTGTGAACAGAATCGTTTGGCCTCTGCCTGCCTTACCCTGCAGCCCGTGGACGCGTATGCATGTATCTGTAGTGATGGTGACGTAGTCAGCACTGCCTCCTTGGAGTTTTAGTGCACAGCTGGGGCAGGGTGTCTTCTTTATCCAGGCACCCATTGCTAACCTCTCAAATGCAGGCCGCTGGATAGGATGGAGGGGATTGGATTTGGTCTTTGCGGTGCTAGCCCCAGAACTCTAACCAACTTCTTTGTGCACGTCATGGTTTCAGCATGTCCACCTGCTCACTGGGGTCCGAACTGCATCCATACGTGCAACTGCCACAATGGGGCCTTCTGTAGTGCCTACGATGGGGAATGCAAATGCACTCCTGGCTGGACGGGGCTCTACTGCACTCAGAGTAAGTGCCACACCTCCTCAAGGAGGAAACAGCCCTGCCCATTGCATGCATGATTTAAACTCACCCCGAGTCTAGATATCTAAATGTCTCCAGATAGCTAAGCTCAGGACCCTGAGCCAGAGCAATGCTGTAGCATGAGGGTGTGTAGTTCTATCTCCTCTCTCCTGTAACCAGACTACAGTTTGGTAAGTCAAATGCCTTGTCATTTCTTCTGACAGCACAAAAGTTAGGATAATTATAATGGTGAGAAAGATCGTGGAGACAAGCTTCCCTGCCTAATGTACGGTATATGCTTAGAGAAGATTCAGCTCCCTGAGTTTCAGGTGCTACCAAGCTTCAGAATTCTGGAGGGATTGTTGAAACACAAAGTTCTGAGCCTCATCCCTACAGCATCCCCTCAAGTCATACCCGATGAGCCCGAGGGATCTGCATTTCTCACAACTTCCCAGGTGAAGCTGATGCTGTGGTCCAGGGCCCACCCTGTGAGAATCACCGCTCTAGCCCTTTTCCGTTAGTGAGAACCAGAGTTTCTCCTTTTTCCTATGAGGCTTTTATCATCATAAGATATAGAGGACAAAATTCTCCACAACTGAACATCTCAGGGACAAAAAGATAAAAAGGATCGCCTTCCATTGACTAAAGGAGACAAGAGAAGAAAGCGTGATTTATGATCATCGTTAATAACAAATAATGTTACGATCAAGAAATGAGCTAAGGAGGCAAGCTGAGTCAGAAATTAAGGCAGTTCTTATTTAGTGACAATTAGAGACTAGACTGAACAAATCTTTCGGACCTTTCTCAAAGGGGCTACAGACCGAGGCCTGTGACTTAAAGAGAGTTGGAAAGGAGGGCAGCTGTCTCCTGCACCTAGGGGCAGATGATATATACATATCATCTGACGGGTTTTGTGCTCCTTGCAGACAAGCACCTAAAAGTTGCTGTCAGTGTTGCTACCCTCAGGGTCTGCTTTCAGCAGAGGCCCTTTTGAAGGAGAAAAAAAAAAAAAAACCCAACACGATTTAGGAGGAAAACCATTGGTCTGCTGTCAGATCCACCTGCATTTGACTCTCTCTCTCTCCTGCCATTTGCTAGCTGTGTGACACAGGGCACGCTGGGCCTCGCTTCTCTTCCATACAATGGGAAGATCCCTTCCTTCCTTTCAACCATGGTAGGAATTAAAGGGAGCTGTGGTGGCGTTGTGGGTTATCCATTGGGCTGCTAACTACAAGTTCATCAGTTCAAAACCACCAGATTCTCCAAGGGGAAAGAGAAGGATTTTTACTCCTGCGAAGAGTTCCAATGTCCGAAACCACTCTACCCTGTCCCACAGGGTTGCGATGAGTCGGCATCAACTCCATGGCAGTGAGTTGGGCATTTGGGGTTGGAGTTCAATGACAGGCTGAAAAGAACCCGCACAGAGCTGGTGTTACATACTGCATAGCGATGGTGGTGGTGCTGGCATGTGAGCACCTGTGCTGTGCCTTGGCTTCTTACAGCTTGACTCACATTCAAAACCTATCGTCAGACAAAGCGGGGGATAAAAAGCACATGTAGGACTTGGGAACAACTCTAGAACCAGCCTGGGTCCCAGCTTTCATTCGCCAGAGAGCCCTGAAGCACCCAAGCCTGCCAGCTGCCAGCCCATGTGAGCCAACAGGGCTTGGGCACGTCCTCCAACCAAGAGTCTCTTAGCCTGGGACTTGAAATTGTGGGGAAGTGGGAGGGCTCTTTGCTTTCTTCAAATGCATCCAGGAGGTACAGTTTTATGGGTTACACATCCTGCCACTCATTGTTAGTAAAGGAGATCATCTTCTCTAATTTAGCCGTGAGTATAGCAGGCACCTCTGGTAGTGGAGACAATTTGTACAAGTAAAAACATCGGAGTAATTTTGATATAAAGTACTCATTTCATCCCATGACAATGTAGTCCAGGATTCTGACTGGGGGACAACATGACGGTGCCCCCTAGTCCCACAGGCTTCTAGGTTGCTTTGTAAGAAGATGTGCATTGTGTCCACCGGGGGTCCCAGGAAAAGGGGAAATCCACAGATAGGAGATGGTTCAGCTTCCTGATCATGAATTATAACCTCTTTGCCAAGGGCTGTCTTTAGATTTCAGGCGCCTTTGTGATGAACTGAGATAAGCACTGCTGTCTTTATTCAGTCCCTCCTGGCTAAGTAGGAGCCCTGGTGGCAGAGCAGTTACACAACAGGCTGCTAACTGTAAGGTCAGCAGTTTGAAACCCCAGCCGCTCAGCAGGAGAAAGAGGGGGCTTTCTACTCCCGTGAACACTTACAGGAGTAGACACTCACAGCGGCAGTTTTGCCCTGCTCTCCAGGGTCACTGGGCATCAGCATTGACTCTTGGGCAGCGAGTGCATGGCTGGGTGAACTTCAAACGTAAACCCAAAACTGTTGGAGGCAGGACTTGAGTTGTTTCTCCAGCATCCCCTTGACTTCCGGCTGTACTTCCTCCCCATACAGGATGCCCTCTGGGATTTTACGGAAAGGACTGTGCATTGATATGCCAGTGTCAGAACGGAGCTGACTGCGAACACATCTCTGGGCAGTGCACCTGCCGCACTGGGTTCATGGGGAAGCACTGTGAGCAGAGTGAGTATGATGTCAGTTGCCATTGACCTGCACGTGTGTCAGAATAAAACTGTATGCCCTAGGGTTTTTGATCGCTGCCTTGCAGGAGACTGCCAGGCCTTGCTTCTGAGGCACCTCTGGGTGGACGGGAACCTCCAGCTTTTCAGTTAACAACCCTGCTTATTAGCAGTTTGTACCACTCAGGGACTCTGTGCCATCACTCAGTGCCATGTTTTCTCCCTCTAGAAACAGTGTTCTTAGAAACCTGAAAATACTAAAGCAGAACTTTCCGCTTGGTGTCTCTTGAGAAAGTGGCTGGCTGTTCGCCAGCCTCATTGGCCCCACCCCAGAGATTGGGTACCCTTGTTGGCAATCTTTTCCCCCCAAATTCTTCTTCTGATTAACTGCCTAGCCCTCTGGGTGGGGGCAGTGTGGCTACAGGAATGAAGACAGAACTCAAGCTTTCCATTCCCTTCATCCTGGCACCCCTATGCTCTCCTGCTTGTTTTTGGAACATAGCTTTGGGAGGCGGTGGGGGTGGGGTGGCTTTTAAAAGCACCAGTCTGCGTTCTTCATGGGTAGAGACAGAGCTGGGGCTCACATCAGCGTGATGGGGCCAGGCTGGTGAGGGAGGAAGAAATGGAGCTTCAGGCCCTCCACCCCCACCCACCGACCCACACAAAGGGTGAGGAAGCAAGCTTGTGTTAACTTTCCCACCCTTTTGACATCCTCTCTGCCTGTGGAGTACTTTTCCACAGTTTCCACCATCATTTCCACTGAGCCTTAACTCTTGTAAATATATTGCCTTAAAAATCCCTTTTGTAAAAATTCCACTGGAGAAGACTATGCTCTGTTGGAATAGGCCCACCCTGTTCTCCATTTCCACCCAGCAGCCATGCACCTGCTGCTAGGATTGAAAGAGCAGTAGTCTAAAACTGCATAGTTGAATGAGTCTATCATGCCTTTCCTCTGTGACTTCCAGTCCATAGCCAAGATGAATAAATAAAGGCTTGGTGCTGTATGGTGCTCACTACGCTACAGTAAACGCCATGCAGACAGGACATGGTCCGGGGTATTTCCAGCTCATCAAAGGGTGGGCTTTTGAGAGGGATGCAGCAGAAGTTGCAAAAGATGCGCTCCAAAGTCTGATCAACACAGCAGGGCATTGTCAACAAAGGATCTCCTGCCCTGTGTACCACTGGTACCTCGCCAGCACCCCTGCACTGCCAGGTTACCTGGATCCTGTTTGCAAAACCCTAGACTGGGTTTGCATCTGCTCCAGTCTAGCAAAGTCAAGAGTGACAAGCAAGAGCCCACCCAGGACAGAGATGGCCCAAAGTTAAGTTGGCGCTGCCGGTTCATTTACGCATGCAACAGATACTGAGTCATACAACGGCATGTTCGCTCCTCGTGTATATAAATGTTGTGTGTACATGTCTGAATGTCTAAACACAGACATGGACGCCAACACAGCCTCCAAACTGACTTTCACTTGAATGCAGCCGGTGGAGGTCTTATTAAATAACAGCATCTTAAGTGCTTCCGTGATTACTCTGAACACCAAATTAAAATGTCTTATTTTTGGAGACTTCTCCCAATGCTCATTTGTAAGCAGCAGCACCCTGTTTGACAGAAAGCTCTGATAGTAATAGCACATTGCCCCCTGCTGCTAGCTTTAAAAGCAACACCAGGAGTTTGTGTTTTGTTTTGTTTGTGATTTAAAATGCGTGACACAATGGGTTAAGCCGTTGGGCTATTGACTGCACAGTCAATGGTTCAAACCTACCAGTCACTCTGGGTGTGTGGGGGGAGACTGTCTGTTTCCATAAAGATTTAGACCCTTAGGAATTTTAAGAAGTAGTTCTGCCCTGTCCTACAGGCCCAGGATGAGCTGGAATGGACACGAGAGGAGGGGTGATGTCAGTTAGCTAAGGAGCCCTGCGGTCAAGAGCTCAACTGCTAACGAAAAAACGGTAGAATCAAACCCATCAGCTGCTTCCTGGGAGAAAGCTGCGACAGGCTGCTTCCATAAAGACCGCAATCTTGAAACCGGTTTGGGGTAGTTCTAATCGGCTTTCTACAGTCCTAAGGAGTCTGAATCGGCTCAACCGTCATAAGATGCTATCCTGAAATCTATGTCCAAACGGACTGCTACTAAGACTGAATCATAAGCATGTTTTAGTTTCTCAGCCTTCAACCCACAAATCCAAATTTTGAGCCAGTCTGTGGTAACGATGAGGATCCCTGTCACACAAGGGTTAAGCACTTCACAACTGATTGCAAAGTTGGCAGTTTGGCCCTTCCCAGTCAGTGTTTCCAGGGGAGAAACACCGGCCAGTCTGCTTCCATAAGGATGATGATGCAGAAAACCAGCGGGGCAGCTCTGCCGGTCATCTGAGGAAGCGATGAGTGAAACATTGACGCCACAACACCTACTACCAGCCGCAACATCAACATCATGAATTTATCTGGGAAATTAACAGAATGTATTCTTTCCATACCAACTCCCAAGTTAGAGTACCTTTAGGGGGCTGTCTGAATGCACAGTTAAAAATGCATCTTCTTCTTTTAAAAAAAAATCATTTTATTGGTGGCTCTTAGCGCTCGTATC